AGACTGCCTAGATGTAGGAGCCCAGCAGGAGACTCGCAGGCAGGCAAATGAAGGGTGTTCCTCCTTCACCTCCCTGCAACCCATCCCTGTCCCCAGGCCCTGTGGCGGTGTCCCTCACTCAGCCCCTGGAGCCATCTTTGTACCTCTGCCTCCTCTCCCATCATCAAAACTGCCCACTCCTTGGCCCGAGGGGGACCCTTGCTCTGTGATCTTCAGGGGAAAACGGACTGGTCAGGTTTAACCAATTTACCTTCTTGGCTGCTGGCACATTAACAGGTAGCTCCAGAAGCACGTTCGCCAGTTAACCAGCCACGGGCCTCATTAATCCAAAAGTGAGTTTAAAACGGGAACTTGGGGCAGGGGTAGAGTAGAGGCTTGGGTTCGTGGGATCTGTTCTGCCCACCAGCCGTCCCTGTGGCTGGGCCAGGCCAGGCCAGGCCACATACACCCTACAACAGTGAGTACTTGATCCCACACGGGTAAACTCGCGGGCAGCACAGGGGGCTGCCGGAACATCCCAAGGGGCCCCCAGCTACCTGTTAGGCAGGAGGAGATGGCTTGGGAAGAACAAACGTGGGGGGGACAAATGGGCAGGAGCCCCCTGTCCCATCTCCTGGCCTCCACCTGTTGCTAAGGGCTGGTCAGATGGTCCTGTCCCTCACCAAGGACCCTTGTGGGGTCAGGACTGCAGGGCAGGCATTTGAGGGCGGGGTGGCCACATCCAGGCAGGAGGGGAGGCCTGGGTTTTGCTGCGCTCTCACGTGGGGGGCGGGGGTGGGGGCCTCCTGTGGTGTGGCACTCAGGTTCCAGCAGAGCTGGGGTGTGGCCCGGCTTATATGTCTCCCCACCTGCCTGGAGACTGGAGCCCCAAACCTCTCCAGGCGGCACAGTGGGCTGCCCAGGCTAACTGCACATTAGCCAGGCTGGCATGAAATGCTTTCACTGCCCTCCCATTTTCTTTCCTCTCCCCCTCCAGCCCTCCCTGTCCTGAAAATCAACAAGTGCGTCCACAGCGGGGTGATTGTGTTTGTCCGGTGGCTTCCTGGGCTGCCAGGACCAGGCAGGTGCTGGCAGGGCCGCCCGAGCCCCATGCTGGGTGCAGACCCGTCTGGCTTCCAGGGCTGCAGGCTAAACAGGGCCGCACACGGAGCACAGGAGGGAGGCCACAGGCAGGCAGGAGGGAGAACAGGTGTCTCAGGAGCCCTGCAGACACAAAGGGCTCCTGTCTCCTCCTGGCCCCAGGGGCAGCCCTGCCCGGGGACCAGGTCAGCCTGGGGTGCAGTCTTGTCTCCCCCACTCCCGCCCGCCCACCCATACCTCAGCCTTGCTGGAGATGGAGGTGAGGCCAGTCTGGGCGCTGGAGCTGCAGAAGCGGGATGTCTGCTGCCGAGCGAGTCCACCAGCCTTGGGCCTCTGTGGGTCTTTTCCCTGCTGTTTCCTCAGCTTCTGGGCAACCAGGCAAGAGGTGGACAGGGGATGTGGAGAGTCGCTGGTGGTCTGAGTGTTGGCCATGGAAGCAGAGGTGGGATGCAGGGAGGCTGTGGGATTTGGGGCTCGAGGTGGCCAGGGTGTGGCCACGCCCTCCTTCCTCTACCTGTTTATGAAACAAACCTCTACAGGTGCCTGCCATGGTCCGACACCGCACTGGGGCTGGGGAGGTAGTGGGGAATGATCCAGCGGCAGCAAAGACAGCCCTGGGCCCCGGCTGCCTGTGTGCTCTTGGGTGAGGCAGTTACCTCTCTGAATCCCAGCTGCCCCATCTGTGAAACGGGGGTGCAGACCCCAGGACCTGCCTTGTCCTCAGGGGTGGTTGTGATGGTGGGTCCGAAGAGACAAAAGCGATGCCAGGCATAGCAGTGACTGTATAAAAGATGCTTACTAATACACTGGTCTGGGAGAACTAGGCGCTCAAACCCAGCCAGACCCTGAGAGGTAGACAAGGAAACAAGTCTTGCACCTCAGTCAAGCACTGGAGATCAGTGGTGCCCAAGGTCTCAACGATTCCCTGAAGTAATACGGACTGTGGGATTGTTACAGAGAGATTGGTAAAGGAGGGGAACATTTGAGATGGGTTTTGAGTGAGGTGCAGGAGTCTCTGCTCAGGAATGTGGAAAGGGCCTTCTGGGCTGGAGCAAGGTGTGAGCCAGAGGCGTGAATGCACGTGGAAGGGCATGAGGGCCTGCACGTGTGGGAGGAGCTTGGGTGCCTTTGCTGCCTGTGGTCAGCAGGTGTGGTTGTGACTGTCTCCCCTCCTCGCCGTGCTCCGTGATGAATGACTCCTCACTCGCTCCGGAGCATCCTGTTTCTAGGGAGGCCGCACAGTGGTGAACACACACCCTGCAGTGTTCAGGGTTCTGGATTTGATGCTGCTGCTTTTTTTTGGTACCGGGGTTCAAACTCGGGACGTTGTGTTTGTGAGGCAGGCGGTGGAACCACTGATTTAAATCCCCAGCCCGAAGCTTCTGGATTTTGAATTTTTTTTTTTTTTTTTTTTTTTT